AAGTAGCAGAAAGTAGCAAACAACCTACAAATTGGCTTACCTAGGAAACCTAAAGGTGGGGGAGGGGAAGAGAGAACAGGAGTTAGAACTCCAGGCTTCCAGCTTGCTGGGCAGTGGCTAGGCCACCTGTCTCAAAAGCAAAATCAGCAATTTAACACGTTAGAAATCAAAATTTAAAATGAGTACAACGACTATCACAAAGCACAAGGAAATAGCACCTCATATTTCTACTTCATTCACTACTATCTCCCAGGGAAAGACATGTAACAAGTTTGGAAATTTTCGAATTTGAGATGTAATAAAATGTAATAAAATGTAATAAAGCCTTTAAACATATCTCTTTCAACTACATAGACATAACACAAACTCATCTTTAGCGAACCAAAATATTCTGGTGTTATCATTTTTAAAGTAATGTATGCCTTTGGTTTAGGAGGAGGAGTCCAGAAATCTGTAAAGTTTCAAATCACCTTCCATCCTTCTTAGAACCCTAGAGGTATTTTGTACTCCAAAATAAGATTATTTATTTACTACGAGTATCCTTCCAAAATAGTAAGATAATTTCTTAACTGACCCATGAACAAACATAGATTGCAAGATAAACACCCATAGCAAAGAAAATTTATCACTACAAATGAGATCAAGGAGGTACAAAACAGTAGATCCTTTGAAAAGCTGTTTAAAAAAAAAAGAGGGAGGTAAAAATGTTTGACAAAAAAATGTACTCACTACCTTATATATGTAACTGTAACCCTTCTGTACATCACCTTGACAATAAAAGTAAATTTAAAAAAAAAAAAGAAAAGCTGTTAAAAGCTAAAGTTTGACTCTGTGTGTGTGCTTGAACTAAGGGCCTGGGCTTTTTTGTTCAAGGCCAGCACTCTACCACTTGAGTCACAGCTCCACTTGGATTTTTTTTTTTACTTGTTTTGTTTTTGGTGATTACCTGGAGATAGTCTCACATACATTCCTGCATGGGCTAGTTTTGAACCTCAATCCCCAGCTCTTAACCTCCTGAGTAGTGAGGATTATAAGTGTTAGGTCACTGGTTCCTGGCTAAAATCTGATTTTTAACTATTTTCCTCAACAAAACTAAGACAACTTGCCACTATCTAAATTGAGAAACACTATCTCCAGGAAACAATCAAGGGGGAAAAAAATCTTATTAAGAGTCATGCTAACTTTTAATTTGTTAAACGGACCTTTATTATAAACTTTCAGAATATGTCACACTCTTCCTCTGTGACAGATGTTCCTGTTAGTAATTCTTACACTTAACACTCCATTTAGGCAGCTGTAAAATTTAACACCGCAAGTGATACCTATGTATGTTATCTTCATAATTCCTACAAACTGAGTATACACTCAAATATTTGATGCTCTAATTTATGTCACAGCTGAACCATCAATATGAAAAATTGATACATGTAAAGTTTCAGAAGGAATACATAAGACTATTGATTATGCATTCTTTAAATAAACTCCACTACTTAACTACTCTACAAACACAGAACCTACCACTAATCTAATTCTAAGACTATCTGGTGGCCTTTTTTTCCCTAACATGAATTAGCTTTCTGGATGCTACATTTCAAAAATAATAATGCAGTTATCAGTCATTAACATCAACTTTAAAGACTTCAGCATCACAATGAGTTTCAAAGTAAAAATAAACTCAAAAACCTTTCACACATGTATAATGTCAGTGCTATATAAGCAACACTAAAAGGTTACATAATCTTATCAAGTAAAATTTTACTCTGTACCTACTCAAGCAATAAGCCTTCACCTAAATAACAAAAATTCAACCTGAAGCAGTTTTTAATAATGTTAAGGTGGCAGTCAGATGTTGCCTAGTCATTTCATTTTCAACTGATTCTACAGTAAAATTATTCATTAAAAATAAAACCAGAACTTACAATACGCTTTTCTATTTTTTGCTACAGTTCTAATTTGTGCAGATACACAAACATGTCATTTATCTTTATTACCAGGGATATTATCAAAAATTTGACTCATGCCTACAATCCTTGCTACACGAAAGGCTGAGATCTGAAGATATATATATATATTTAATATATACATATGTATGTATATATTTGCATACACACACACACACACACACACACACACACAAATCACTTATTTGGATAAAGAAGCCTCATGCCTGGAAAACTTTAGGAGCAAGGGGCAAGTAAGACACACTTATTTAATGCTTTCAATTTACCAAAAGTTTTAGATCAATTTGTATTTTCTAAAACCTACAAATGCGATTAAAACGTGGTAATAAAGTGATTCATAATACACTGCAGGAGTAAGAATTTTTCAAAGCAAGCAATCATAACTATTTCTGTCAGAAAGGAAAAAAGTTACACAAAATGCCAACTAATTTTTTTTTGGTCAGGTGGCACAAAATTCACATCTAAAATAGGAATTCTGGGGAATATTCAATTCCATTATCTATCTTCAGTTAAGTAGCCTGAACTCACTCCCTAACTCCAATAGAAAAAAAAAAGCCATCTTGTTTTTAAGACTTACAGAGAAAAAAGAATTCTGAAGCTAACACAGCTCAACATTAAACACACACACACACACACATACACCACACAGAAAAAAAAATGCTTTTCAGGAAAATTGAAAAGAGGGACAAAGCTAAATAATTCAATACTTCCTTCAGAAAGACACTAGTTCATTAATTCTATTCAGAAACCAATTCAAATAGAGGACATGGGGTTATGGGGTTATATAACATCAAGCTTTACATTATATATTTCACTGGTATGTTTAGGTTCACATGGACTGCATAAAGGTTCAAGCACATAGTTCGGAATGCTTTATTTTAACCTCAAAATTGATGAGTCTTGATCTATGCAAGTAGGACTTCACAAGCACTGAGTTGGAAGTGATGAAAAAATTTTTGTCTCAACAAACTATTAAGTTGATCAAATTACCCCATAACGAAGCTTCACACATTTCCTATTATTAGGCCATTACTGTATTCAAATGTCAAAAAGATAATGCACAACTTCATAAAAAAATTGAAAATGCTGTTTTTTTAATTAAACTCCATTCATAATGACTTTTAGAATTCTGTATAACTAATGTAAGTGCCATCCACAGCGACTCCATCTGAACACACATTCTAAGACTTATGAAACCATCAACTAGCAAGTTACACATTATTCACACAAAAGAACAGAATTTATTTATTTGTTCATCACCATGACCAAAAGGAATAGATTTAAACTAACTTTTCCAAATGAATTATCTTTGCAAGGAACTTTACCAACCTGATGGTGAGACCAGCAATATTCGCTCCAAATTAAAATGCTCCTTAAATTTAAATCATTTGTTTCATTTTCTGAAATGACCATTTTCACAGTGGTCCAGTTTTATTTTTTAATAAAATGCCTCAAATATATTGGGGGGAGGAAGACTCAACACAGGAAACAATTCCTGATGCTTAAATCATTACTGAGCTAATTCTGTTCATTTTTCCAGCAATAATTTTAATGAAACCAATTAATACCTACATAGTTCAAATTTAATTCTAATTTTCTCTATTGGGCAAAGCTTACTGAAAAGGATAATTTCCATAAAGCTTTTTTGCTACTGTTAGCATTCAAAATTCCTTATATTTAGTTACTTTTAAATAAAAACAAAAGTGCAATTACAGATGTTTTAAAGAAATAAATGACTGTTAAACTACAGACAAAATTTAATAACAAGAACAAAAAAAAATCTCAAGAAAAAAATACTAAGCTTTAATCATTTCAAACTTCTCAATTGTAACAATGAAGCTAAGTGTCAAATGCAAAGCTATATTTTAAGCAGAAAAGAAAATGTCTAGTAAATGCAACGCCTATGGCACACACTCCAAGTTTCACATACTAATGAACAAGAAAGCCTTCTAATACCATTCGATCCGATTTTGGTGAGAAGATACAAACTGATGCAGACAGGAGACTCCAGCCTTTGTTCAATAGCTTATGGATGGGTAACTAAATGTGCTACAGGTTGATAAGCATTTACTAGGCATATGCATGCAGTTTCCAAGCTGGAGAGGTATGTGAATTCCATATGCAAATAACCTGAAATAATCTTGATTAACCACCTACCTATATATACAATCCAAAAGGGAGGCCTATTCGTCGCTACTATTTATTTCCATGTTTACCTCTCCTCCCTCCCACAGACCCCCCCTTCACTTTCTCCTCCCACCCTGTCCCGCCATCTTGGGCCGGTAGGAGCAGCCATTACTTAACTAAATGACAGTGCCAACAACTTTCCACATAAATAAACAGAGACTACACCCCGAATTCTCCCTGAGTTTCCATGTGTGGCACACAGGCGAGGAAGCTCCCGGAAGAAAACACCTTCCCAAGTAAGTGTGGTATTTCTCTGGCAGAAAAGCTCCAAAAAGTAAACAAGTCACCTAACTTCAGGTAAAACCCATACCAAATGAGATACAGGTCAACAGCCCAAGGCAAACTCTGCACCGACCTAAACTACGGACAACTTCCCCCTTCCGAGAGCAGAGACCCAAGAAACCCCCAAACGTTGGGTGAACAGTAGACATCATAAACAGCCTGCCTTAGAGGAAAAGAACATAAACCGAGAGGTACAAATTTGAAGGAATCTGCACACATTTAGGATTCCTTGACCCTCTTCAAACCACCTCGGAGATCATCGGCCTTAGCCCGCAAAACAGTAAAATCGGAGACTATTCTGCCGACCGAGTTGAGCTCGGCCCCAGTGGGCTGCTTTCTCCGATCTTCTAGCTGCTAGAGGGGAGAGCGATTTCGCAAGCGAGCAAGCGAGGTACCCGAGAGTGGTGAGGGGAGAGAGCACGAGCAGGAAATACTTTTCCGGAAGCCCCTCGACCGTCGTCCGCGACCACAATGAGCGCTGGCCGGGCCACAGGGCCACAGGGCCCCCGGGGCGAGCGCGGCGCCGGCTTGGAGAGACCGTGTCCGCGCTCCGGCCCGCAGCTGTCTTACCTTGCCCAGTAGGGCCTTCGTCCTAACGCCATCTTCATGAAATCTCACGAACCCGAAAAGGCGGCTATAGGAAAAGATACATGTAGGTCGTTAATGCTTCGGGAACGACACCGATCCCCGTCCCTGCCCGAACCCGAGGCCCCGCGTTGGCGGCGCGGGGAGCGCCAAGCCTAGGTGCCCGCCCCACAAGAGGCGAGCCGCGCTCTGGCCTCCCCGGAGAGAGGCGCCAGCCTGTCCGGAGCCGACCGGGCAGATGACGGTAGCTCGTACCTGTCCAGTCCACCGAGCGCCTCCCTCTCTTCGGCTGTCAGGCTGGGGGACGTCTCCTCGCTCTCGCCGCTCGCTTTTCCCGCCGCCATTTTCTTTTCCTCATCACCGAAAGCGGCGGCAGCGGCAGCGGCGGCGGCGGTAGCGAGCGACACTCCGCAGGATTTCATGGAAACGCAGCGAATTCACAACTCCAACGCCGACACCCCCCCCCTCCTCTCCTAGGGCCGGGACCCGCAACGACGCCCCCAATCTCCGCACGGGACCGGCAGACCAACTTTATCGCCGCCTCCTCCTGCGCCGCGAAAGGCGGCAACGAAAAATCCCAACGCGGTCGCAGCGAAGGCGGCAGCAGCAGAGGCTGCGGAGCCACCGAGTCGGGCAGCGGCTGCAGCTCAGCTGTAGGGTCACATCGCGGGGGCGGGAAGGGGACAGCCACGGGCAGGGAAGGCGGGGATGGCAGGAGCGCGCGGGGTTCGGGAGCACTGAGGGGATTCGGTGGAGACACAAACTTCCCCAGTACCAGCACAAAGTTGTTGTAATTGTGTCACACAGCGAACCCCACGCCGCCGCCGTGACCCCCCCCTCCCCGCCCGGCCGGCGCAGCCAATCGGTGTGACCTACTCTCTTCACGTGACCTTTGTTGACTCGCGTCAGCCTTGGTTCCACTGAACTTGCTAGTTTCCAGAGCCCCGCCCACCGAGTCAGTCACCCAATAGAGAAAGGAACGCGCTCCAATACTTACCGATGATTGGCTAATGAACACGCCTGTCATGGGACGGTTGTCACAGAGAAGAAGCAGCATGTTAGGTTGTGCCAGTTAAATACACAGTCAGAGAATGGAGGGTCCGGCCCGTGTCACCTCGGGAGCCGCGGCGGGCTAGTGAGGGGGAGGGGGAGGGAGCTGCGGGGAAGGGCGAGGTCCGGCGCCGCCCGCAGCGGGCTGGAGCTGCCCTGGTACCCTACTAAGACAGCCTTTGCTTGCCGGGGAGCTCCTGAGTAGGCCCAGCCTGCGGCTTCTGTCATTCCGCGCGCACCTTTTGGAGGTCTCGGTCCCCACAGGACCAGGTACAAGCGGCATCACCGGGATGTGGCGCAGGGTCCCGGACCTCTGCCCATCTAAGAAGGCTCAGACTTAACCCTGCTGGAAAAAACGGCCTCAACGAAGAGTGCACTTGGGAAACAGTTGTCGACCCCATGTTCCATGAACTATGGGCCGCCCTAGACTGGGCCGCGCTCGCAACCGGATCCCCTCACCAGCACTAGAGTGCACAGGGTGGGAGGGCGGGGAAGTCTCCTGACCCTCATCCATATTCCCCCCCCCCCCAGGCCAGAGGGACACAAGAATCTCCTACGGGATCTGGCGCGCTAACCGTAGCACCCCACCGCCAGAGATCTGTTGGTGGCACTTTTGGGCCAAATTTTCGTGCTTTCTGGGTTTACCCAGCGTCCTCTGTAACTCACTGTAACATAAGAAAAACAACAATGAAAATGTAAGGATCTCCAGAATGTTGTGTTCTGTTCCGATCTCCACGGATCCTGTATGGAAAATTTGGGGCCGCTTACAGCCCCGAAAAGCTTTTTCTGCCGCCACTACCGACAGATACCCTTTGCAATAGCACTTTCTTGTTCCCTCTCTATAGGATGAAAAAAAAAATTTTTTTTCATTAGTCCAGTGCTCAATCCATAGTATAATTGGGAGAAAAAAGAAACCAGGTGTTCTGTAGACTATTTTCAAAAGCAAATTTAGGAAAATATATCTCACATTGCAAATCTGTTACCGTCTTCAAGGATAGGAAAGTATTAGTTCACATGATTCAAATGAAGTTTTATACACTTCGATAGTAACTTTCCACCTGTAGCCAATCGACAATGTTGTATTTAAACTTGAATTTCAAAACATTAAGGAAGACAATTCAGTGCTTCAGTAAATGCTAGCAGCATTCAGTGAGAAGGTATGGAATGGAAATCCCAACTGATTTTGCAGTTTTAAAATGTTCCCCTGAGACTAGTAACGATGAACAAACTCCGGTTTTATATAGACTATATTTCATGTTTAATTACTCTCTAAAACACCTCTTGGTTTTTTATGGTATTCCATTTTGCTTAAAAGAATGACAACTGAGAGCGGAATGTTTTCTACAGTTAAATTAACATACGTATTGTTAACTTTGCCACGTATAGTGACCTTTAAAAGCCTAAGATAGCCTGAGGTGCGCGCGCGCTCTCGCTCTCGCGCGCGCTCTCTCTCTCTCAATCTCTCTCTCCATCCCTCCCTCTCATTTCCTCCCTCCTTCTTTCTTCCTCGCTCTCTCCCTCTCTCGGCTCTCTCCCTCTCTCGGCTCTTTCCCTCTCTTCTCTCGCTAGCTCGCTTTAGCTCTGCCCCGACCATACACACACACACACACAGATCTGTACAAGCAGAAATACAAATCTGCCAGTATATGTCCGTCTTCCTGAAGTTAGCGATTTTTTGACTCTGGCCTTTTCCGAGAATTATAAGGCTACACACTATCCACTCCTGGCTGCCTTTCCCACCATTGCTAGGTAATTGCGGCAGAATTGCGTCTAGAATGCTATGTCGGAAGGGGTTGGTATCAGACAGAGCTGACTCCAGAGGGTTTATGATCTTTACTCTGCACCGTCTGTGTGACCTTGGGAAAACTATCTTCTAAACCAAAGCCTTTTGTTTTTTAAGATAGGGTCTCCCTATGTAGCCTCAGGCTGGTCTCAAAAATTTCAGTCCTCCAGTGCTGTGATTTCATGTGTTCACCGCCATGCTCAGCTAAACCAGTACTTTGTCTGAAATACAAGGATTTAGGCTGGAGGCATGCCTCTAAAGGTACACCTTCTGTCTAGCCAGCACAATGCCGAGTTCAAACCTCAGTACTACCAAAGAGGTGGGGAGGGGGGAGAGGGGGGAAATTACCAAATACAAAGACCTAGCCTTAATCAAGCTTGGGATCCTTTTCTTAGTAATGTAAGTCTTTATATTACTATGTAATTTGTTGGATCTTGCATACACTTATTTGTGAAGTGTTTGCAAAAATAGATATGAAACCTCTCTCCTGGAAAGAAAACTGGGAAAAATTCAACAAACGATCTTATAAAAGTTTCTATAAACAATGAATCTGAAAACCCATGTGGAAGGCAGAGTAGGTCACTAAATGAGCATCTGTATAAGATACAGATCTAGTTTAAATCCTAACTCTACCACTTGATAGCAGGATAACCTTCAACAAATAGTTATAATTTGAGCTCCATTTCTTCCTTCATTTGTTAAAAGGAGATACTATCGCCACTTAATATGATTTTCAGTATTGGATTCCATAAGGTAGGTATCATGCCAGATACATATGAATTCAAACCTACGTTAGACTGGGAGTGTAGTTCAATGGTAGACATGTGGTTCATATGCTTAAGGCCATCTTACACACACACACACACACACACACACACACACACACACACGAATAAAATAGGAAGATTGGGATTTTCTGAAACCATGTTTTCACAAGAATGTACTGGTCACCACTGTTACCAGTTAAATTCTGATTCGAATCCAATCTCCCTATAACCCAAAGCAGAAAAGTCTTAGTCCACTTTATACCTGGGGCATACAACCCCAACCTTGCTTTTTTGTTTTATTTTGTTTTGTGTGTGTGTGTGTGTGTGTGTGTGTGTGTGTGTGCCTCCACTCTCCCTAAGCATTTTTAGCTCAAGTCTACTGCTCTACCACATGCACCACAGAGCCACTTTGGGCTCTTTCTTAGTAGTTTATTGGAGATAAGAGTCTCATGGATTTTCCTGCCCAGGCTGGCTTCAAACCTGGATCTTCAGATCTCAGCCTCCTGAGTAGGATTACAGGTGTGAGCCACCAGTGTCCTGACTCCAACATTGTTATAACCTCATTTATTCTCAAATTAAACCTTACTTCACTCAGTACTGATTTTCGTTTCATAATTATAACACGAGTTTAGTAAAGTTTAACCTGCAATTACCAAGTGGATAATATGTATAGATAAATCAGTATTTTTTCGTTATATTAAAATATGCTGAGTCAAGTTATGGACAAATCCATTCATAATTTATAGCAATATTATGGTAATAGTTATAGAAGTATCAATATCAGAAAAAAACACTAAAAGAAATTTAGTCTAAACAAGTAAACACATGAAGCATTTGAGAATGCATAATTCATTTCTAATGTTAGCACCATGTAACCTATATGAATAATTTCTAAAAGTCACATTACAAAGCCATGCTTTATCTAGACTTATAAATAGAACTGTCTTAGTTTTTATTTCAGGATCAAAAATAAGTTTTAAAAATTGTGCCCATACTTACTAGCGTCATAAAAATTATCCTACTGATGTCTGAACATAATGGATGATAGCAATAAACATAGGGTTAGAGTTAAGTACAGATAGAGAGCTAATTATAAACAGACTTGCGGTTAATAGAAAAATTTAAAGCTGTCAAAATAGTTTCTAGACTTCTTCAGCTTCCCCACAAATCCCACCCCAGCCCCCAACTTACACGGAGGAGCTTAAATTTCCCCTCCCCTGCTGAGTTGGTGTCAGAGATAGCTTAGCACTAAATTAGGACTTTTACCACAGCCAGTGGCCACCCCACCACACCATGTTAGCAGAATCCATGTCTGTATCAATAATGAAGCACTCACACCTTTCAGCTAAGAGAATATTATTGGAGACCTAGTAGAGAGACAGAATTCTCATCCCCACAAAATACTATGGAGACAAACACCCCACAAATGCAGTCAATATTGAGTGAGGAACCTGGACTTTAGTCAACACGCAGCAGGACCGTGCCACCCCACCCCCCAGCAATGTTAAAGGAGGCCTACAAAAACAAGAATTAAATAAAATCTTGAGTCTCATAACCAAAAAAGTCCAGGTTTTAATCTACAAATCACTCATCATACCAAAAATCAGGATAACCTTTAATGAGAAAAGATAATCAATAGATGCAAACCTTAAGACAAATCAGATGTTTGAATTATCTGACAAGGCTGTTCAAACAGCCAGCACTAAAAATACGTCAAGGAGCGATAGCAAACTCACTTGAAATAAATGAAAACCTAGAAATTCTCAGCAGCAAAAGAAGTCTCCAAAAAGAAAGAGAAGATACAAAGACTTATTTGCAAAAACGTGACATCTTGCTTATTATTAGGAGTTGAAGTTCAGGCACTTCTGCTCACAGCTTCTTTGGAATCCGAGTATCCGAGGAACATACAACATAATCAAGCACTGAATAAAACAATGCTTTACTGTACTCACACAGAGTCACAGAGTCAGATGAGCTTCAGTAGTGGGCATTCAACCTACACAGGCAGTGAGTCCTTCCAGCAGCCAACTTATTCTCCAGTGCACTGGTGAAAAGACCTCATTTCCCTTCCTGCAGTGGACAGAATTTGCATTGAGATAGGCCAGGTGCAAGGAGGTGCTCAGTGTTTTAGCAGAACAAAGGAACACACATTAAGGCTGCCTACCCAACACCAACTTTGACGGCTTTGTTGTTGTTTT